GGACGTGGCCGTGCAGGGCAGGGTACCGCCCCGCGCGCCCCTGAGGCCGCCCCGCGCTGGCCCCGGGACCCCGCATCGTCAGAGCCGTGGGGCCGCCGGGCTCCACGTGTTCACCCGGCTCCAGTGCGGGGCAGGCGGCCAGTCCTGGTTCCTGCACAAATGATTTGTTGGTTCCTTCTTTCGTTCGTTCGTTCGGCCATTCATTCATTCATTCAAGGCTATAATGATTGTCCTCTCAGGGAGCAAAACCTCCTTGCCCGCCTGTAGCTTAGTCTAGTTGGGGTTTTGCATAGGTAAAGCCACATGGTAGGACAGGGCAAGTCCCTTGAAAGTGCAAAGGCCTGGCCAGTGGAAGGAGGGCTCGGGGAAGACTTCAGAGCCAGGGACTTAGCGCCAGCAGCAGAAGTGAGCAGGATTTGGGCAGGCCAGGCAGGACGCATGCTGCCAGGCAGAGGCTGCTGTAAGCGGGAAAGGCAGGGGCAGCCAGCACCTCCCCTCCCCCAGATCCAGGGGCCCTCACTCAGTCCCCAGCCTCAGGCCGCATTGGTGGGACCTGGAGAGCAGGCGGCACCCTCTGGAAGACCCGCCTGGGAGACGCATGGCAGGGCTGGGGAACCAGACAGCCCTCCCTCCCACGGCTTGTCCCGGGGACGGTCGAAGCCCCGCGTGCACGGAGGCACACACGCAGTGCCCTGCCCCGATGCTTGCACACGAGGGACGCAGACGCTGCATGCCACCTGCGCCAAATGCCGTCCCAGCCCCCCCCGGAGGAACGGAGGAGGGCTGGGCTCGGGTGCGTCACCGGGAACCACCCTCATTCAGGGACGTGACACCCGGGCCCACCGTGGCCCTCGGGCCGGGCCGGCCTGTGCCGCCCTTGCAGGAGCCGAGTAGATAGGCATGAGCGTGGCACCCCCGACGTTTCTGCATCAGCAGCCACCAAACGTCCGAGGCCCAGATGCGAAGTCGGCCCAGGAGGCACACGTGGGCCCTGGGGCCCGGGGCTCAGACCCCCCACAAGCCTCTGGGTGGAGCCCGGTGCCCTGCCACGCCCTGGGGTGGCCGTATTTCTCAAGAAAAGAGACTCATCCTCTGACCCAGCTGGGCATTTGTCCCTGAAGCAGATGCGTCCTGAGCGGGGGACCCTGGGCCTCAGGTAGCTCACAGATGTCGTCCCTGCCCTCTGCGAGACCCCTGCCCGGGAGGCCATCGGAGGAGGCAGGGGGCCCAGGAGAGGAGGGGAGGCCACAGCCAGCCAACCCCAGCACGAAGGCCAGCGCGAAGACTGGCTCCTCTGTGTTGATAAGGAAACAGGCTAGAATCCTAGGTAACTTGTTCAGAGCCACCCAGCCGGTCAGTGACAGAACACACGGACCCAGCCCCGCCGGGCCCACCAGCCCCTCCGCCCGTGTCCAGGCCGCCTACCCACCTGACGCTGCTGGGTTATGTTCTGCTGGACGCCGGGACTTCAGACCCCGAGCCAACCTCGCCCGTCCCTCCGGCAACGCAGACCTATCACCACGTCAAGGTCCGCAGAAGCCGAATCGCTGAGTGGCCGTGAACTCCCAGGTAGCAGACTGGTAAATTTCCGGAGTCCCACAGCTAGAAAGCTGGGGTTCCTCGTCCCTGTCAGGCAGCCTCTCTTAATGTCTACCCTCAAACTGCCACCCCTGCCCAAGGCCAGCCGGTCCCACCGAGCTGCTGTCCCCGCGGGCCGGCCGGGCTCCCCACACCCTCGGTTCTGGGACCACAGTGTCTGGGACGCCTCTTTCTGCAGTGTCTGTCTTACCGAGGAGGCAGAGGCGCCCCGGCCCCGGCGGCCTCATGCACCCCTTAGCCCGGCGGCCGCGTCCCTGATTCTCTAGAGCCTAGACACCCTCCCGGGGGGCCGGGGCCTCCCCAGCCACAGGCCACGACGACGCGCTTCCAAGAATTCAAACCAATTACCCGGGAAAGGGAAAGCACATTTTTTCCATCCTCAGCCATCCAAAAATACCTCAAATCTGAAAACAAAAGTCTCGGGCCAACGTAGCTGAGCAAAGCAGCCCTGTGCCCAGAGAGCCCGTCCCCTTCCCAGCACCCAGGCGGGGGCGGGGGACCGGCAGGAAGCTCCTGGGTCTCCCCGCCCCCGCCCCTCTGCAGCCTGCTCCTGCTCCTGGCAACCAGGAGTTTTGGAAGAACTTTCTGGAAGCTTGTCATTGCCATGAAGACGGCCGTGTATTTTGTGTCCCTAGAGCAAAGCAGTGATGTGTGCATTTTTCTTACTTTTTATTTCCTTGCTCTGAAAACTGTCTTCCGAAGAGCCTCTGAGCAGGAAGAGGGATGTGGGGTGCAGCGTCTGGCCCCGGACGCCGCCGGGAGCCTCGCAGGGGAGAGGTGTGAGCACGTGCCACACTGTCCCTCAGGATGCCACGTGCCCGACGTCTCCCAGGGACGCACCCTCTCTCTCCCCCTCGCCCCCGCAGGCTCAGCACGTCACCTGTGCGGAGCAGGCCCTGGGAGCCCCGGCCGCCCGCAAGCGCACTCTGCCGCTGAGGAGTCCCCGAAAACAGGCGCCTGCTGGAGGCTACCGGGTCCCACTGGCGCCGGGGAGGGAGGCGGGTCGGCCGCCGGGCCGGTGGTGCGGTCCCCGGGCCACGGCGCCCCGCCCTCCACGGCACGTGTCCTTCCAGGGGGCGCCAGTCCCTGCGAGGCCCACCGCCTCAGTGTCCGGGGCAGGGACTGCGCTTCCGCTGGTTAGTGGGTCCCCGGGGGAGGAGGGGCACACATGTCTCTGTCCTGCTTCTGAGTCAGCAGCCGCCCTGCGCTGTGCCCAGGTCCCCACAGGCCCTGCTCTGACATGACCACGAGCACCGCACGTGACCTCTGACCTGTCCTCAGTTTTCCTCGTGAACTCCGGGGACCCAAAACGCTCCGTGAATCGAAGGCAAGATCACCGCTGAGCTCTGTCCAGGCTCCGTCTCTCAGGAGGCATCTGAAGAAATGAGGAAGGCCAGGCCGGGCGCCTGCAGGCAGCGAGGCGGGCTACCCAGAGGAGGCTCCGCAGGCTTCTCAACCCAGCGTCCTGCTGACTTCCTGGCCGCCAGCCTGGCGGGGGCGATCTGCACTTCGGAGCCTGAGAGGTGTGAGCGCAAGGCATCTGGGACTGGCCGCTCGCTCTCCCTCCCTCTCTCTGCTGTCTCTGCCTCTGTCTCCACACGCGCACACACACGCACACACACACACACACATGCGCACGCACACACGCACGCACGCACACGCACGCACGCACGCGCGCGCGCTCCTTCCAGGAACTATTTATAAAATGGTACTAGTTTGCAAAGGGCTAGTCAATGTGAGATTCCTTCTAAACACATCTTCCTTTGAAAATGAAAAAAACAGGACTGGTTTTTACACACGCACAAGCGACCTCTCAGGGATGCAGGCGCTGCTGGCCGGAGGGCCTGCCTAGTCCTAGCTGACCAGCGGCAGGACTCGGCAGGCCGGCACCTGCAGAGGCAGCCGTGGGACCTGCTCACGGACCTCCCAGGGCACCCGACGCTCCCTGACCTCAGGCCCCGTGACTCCTGTTGGTTTCGCTTCCGAGGTCCGAGAGCGTCTCCGTGCTGGTCCGTGCTGGGTGAGTGGCCGGCCCCCAAGAAAAGGACAGGCCGGAGGCCTCGCCCGGCAGGGGCCCAGGTGTCTGTGCGGAGCCAGGGCCTCTGCCGCCTCCGACTGACCACGCGTGTGTCCGTGCTCATGGGCCCGTCTTCCCTCCTGTGAGTGCAGAGGCGCAGCCTGGGTCAGGGAGGCCGCCTGGATTCGAACTCCTGGAACAGCCGGTCATTTGCTGTGTGGCTTCGGCAAGTTAACTGACCTCTCTGTGCCTGTTTCTTCCGTTAAAGCTGGAGAAGAGACTAGACCAACCCTCCGGGGCTGCTGTGAGCGCTAAGCTCAGCCGGTCAGTCTCCCTGAGCTCCGTTTGCGGTGGTGCCCAGCTCCAGGGGCACAGGCCACTGCTGGCCGCACGATCCAGCGGTCACGTGCCGCTGGTGCTCCAGCCCCACCAAGCTGCCCAGGGTGGGCTGCGCCAACTCCCCTCCCTCTCCCCAGATTCCAGAAGAGCCTCGGGGGAGGTGCGGATTCCGGGGGAGCTGCGGATTCCAGAGCCGGTGCCAGCACTGGGGGAGGGGCACTGAGCAGCGGAGTCCGGCGGGGGGAGGGGTGCTGAGCAGCCGAGTCCACTGAGCCCCTGGAACCCCAGGCCTGGGCCTGGAATGTGCTGAAGAGGCCACCGCCTGTGTCACTTCCTGCGGCAGCGCCTCCGGAGGGCACCTCTGGGGAGCCGCTCTGTCACCTGGAGCCTGAGCCAGAGCCGTCCTGCTGTGTGCGGGGTTGGGGGGTCCTGGTGAACATGGTCAGAATGGAGGGGCCGCTTCCCGGGTGCCCGCGGAAGGGCTCCAGCCCCGCACACGCCCGAGGGCGGGAGCGAATCTCGGCCGCCAGGAACGCTGCAGTCCGAGACGGAGCTAAACGCCGGACGGGGCAGCGCTGGTTTTCAGGAGCCTTCGAAGGACCACCGCCGGACCCTGTGTGTCCCTCGGCCATCCAGGACGTCCATCCAGTCCTCCCCCGCTCGCCCGCCTGTCACTCGCCAGAGGGGCCAGTGGGCCAGCGTGCTCAGAGGCTGCGAACAGCACCGCGGGAACGCCCAGCCCCCCAGAGTTGCGCTCTAAGAAACCTCGAGAACCCCGGGGTTGCACCCTAAGAAAACTGATGGCTGCGGGAACACGTTCTCACTCTCAGGAGGAAGCACAGTGTCGCGCCCGCCCGCCCTGCTCAGAGAGGCCTCGGCATCTCGTCTCCGTCCGTGAGCTGCAACTCGCTGGACGTCGCTGAAGGAGCTCGGGGCCTGGCCTTCCCGGGCCGTGTCGCTGACCACAGGGCCTGCTGGGCCGTTGCCGTTTTAGCCACATTTGTTTTTATTTCCAAATAAGCGAATCGGTAAACACCCAGCGACGTTCTGCTTGTCTCGCCCCCGTGCAGAGTCCTGCGTGGAGATGCATCGGGCGGTGTCCCCATCTGTGCCCCCTTCCCGCCCCCGAAAGCGAATGAAGCGGGGCGTCTGCAGTCGTCTAGAATGCGGTGCCCTCGCTGGGGCCCTGGCTGCTGAGACCTCGGGGTGAGATGAGAGGTCTGGGGGTCTCTCCCCACCTCCTACGGCCGGTGGCCGACAGGCAGCACTGGTTCTAAGTAAAGCAGATTCGCTGCCCCAAAAACGTAACACGAAGCAGCTTCTTCGCCCTGGCCAGCTCTCGCCACATAGTTGGGATGCCGAAATTCCTCCAAACAGCATGGAAAGTCCCAACACACGACCTAGACGTCAACCTTGAGCAAATAACTTTACTTGCCAGCATTCCTTTCTGGGGTGAATCAGCCTGTCCAGCCTCTACGCTCTGCAGCTAACCAAGCACCTCCCTCTGACAACTGAAGGGTTCGGGGTGCAGACCCCCTCATGCACGTGGTCACCACGACTCGAGAGGTGCCATCTGTCACCACAGTAAACTGCTGAAGGTGAGAGCAACTTTCTTAAGAAACAGCAGCACAGCGGAATCGGCCGTTTCTGCAGGAACGTTGGCCTCACTCACATCCGTGTGCAGACACGTGCGGGGCAGGGGTCGGCCCGCGGGGGCGCAGCCATCATCCCTCATGTGTGTCGGGGCTGAAGTTTAGAGTTCCAGCTGGCGAGGCAAACACTGAGGACCAGCCTGTCCTCTCCAGTGTCCTGTCCCAACGGCGTCAGAGCTGAGGAGCGGGCGGATCAGACCAGAGCACGTGCACGTCCACGGGACATTTGCCTGGGTCGGGGTATGCCGGCCCTGACACGAAGCAGCCCGCGGTCAGCGGGGGCTGGGGGAGCATGAGGTGGGGCTCGTCAGAGCGGCCGCAGAGGGGGGCAATGGGTGGGACGTCTGGGGCGACCCAGAGCCAGTGGGGGACACGTCGAGATGCTCGTGAGGCCGGGGCTATTTCTGATGGGCCGTCATCTGCTGGCCAAAGACGAGCAAGCCTAAGCCCCTGTGGTGCCCGCCGCGGTGACGTCTGTGGTGACCACGCCTCTGGCTGAGGCAGGGACAGAGGGGTTGTTAGGAATTGTTGTCAGCACTTTGAACAGGGACTTGCCCGCATCGCCCTCCAATCCTCGTGGCCACGAGGACCCGTCGTGACCCCACGGTGCAGACGGACAGGCGCGAGGCAGGCGGCAGAGCTCGGTGAGGCCGCCAGGGTCTGCGGTGGGTGCCGGCGACGCCTCCCGCCCAGGAGCGCGGGAGGGGACGTCCCTGGAGCCCGGCGGGGATGTGGGATCGGGGCGTGGTAGGGAGCGAACCGGCCGCGGGGACAGTGTGACTTTCAGGTCCACACCTCCTACGGCCAGGTCAGGGCGGAGTGGACAGAGACCCCTCCCCACTGCACGCCGACTCCGCCCCCATCCCCTCGTTCACCCCCAGGAGCGGCTGCCGCTGCCCCCTGTGTTCACACAACCTGAAAACCTGAACCCTGTGTGGTCCCTGCGGTCGGCAGCCTCGGGTGGCCACAGCTCAGGTGGCCGGGTGGGAGGCGGTTCCCATCCCCCGGCTGACTCAGCTCCTTCCCCCTCCCCTCCCCTCCCTGCCAGGGCAGCTGCTTCTCGTCCCAGGGCCTCACCCCCTTTCTGAGTCTTGGCCACATGCTGCTGCCAGCTGTGACACCCAGCACCCTCAGTCCTGCAGCTCTGTGGGCCCGTCTGGAGATGTCTGCAGTCAGTCCTCTAGGTCAATGGTCCCCAACCTTTGTGGCACCAGGGACCGGGGCTCCTATGAGAATTTAATGCCCGGTGGAGGTGGAGCTGAGGCGGTGATGCTGGCGCTGGGAGCAGCTGCACATACAGAGGAGGCTTCGCTCGCTCGCCTGCCGCTCACCTCCTGCTGCGCGGCCCGGTTCCTAAAAGGCCAGGGACAGGTATCAGTCACAGCCCGAGGGTTGGGGACCCCTGCTCTAGTGGGCCTCTGCCAGCAGACCCCTCTGTCGAGAGCACACACAGCCAGCGTCACCAGCCTGGCACCCACCTCCTGGCCCAGAAGGAGAAGGGCCAGGGGGCGGCCACCAGCACGGCCCCTCGCGAGGAAGGCTATGAGCCTGTCCTGGGTGGTGTCCCCAGCGTGCATGTCCCCAGCCCCGTGTCATGGCATCCTCTCTGCTCAGGCATCGTCTTCGCCACGTCGCAGGTGGGCGTAGAGGAGTGGACACTGCGCTATGGCAGGTGTCTGCAGACGTAGCTGTGCCTGGCATCGCCACAATGGGGGTGCGAGACACCCCCACCCCACGGCCTCGTCCCGGCCCTCACCTCCGCCACAGCCCCCGCCTCCTCCTGGCTGCCCACGCTTCACCTGGATGCCCACGCTCCGGGCTCTGCTTGGCTTAGCGAACGTCCGGTTTCCTTTTTCGACCAGCCGGCCTCCCTCTCCCACTCCAGGCCGCTGTTGGAGCCTGGCTGGGGTCCTGCTGAGTCCAGGACCGGGGACCCTCCCATCACTTTGTGGGACCATGTCACAGACATGCCTCTAGCAGCTCCGGCCTTCAGCCCTCACCCAACAGTGGCCAAAGGCCACAGAAGGCCAGGATCTGTGTCCCACACTTGGCCACACGTTCAGAGTGAAGAACCATCCCCAGGTCCTCCTGGCCAGGGTCTTGCACCCACCAAGGCCATAGACCCACAATCAAGGTCACCCAGGGTGCTCGCTGGGCAGTGGGAGCCCACTCACCAGCAGGCATTCGGCCACAGGCTCCTGGACAAATCAGTCTCTCTTAGAGGGAGGAGGGCAGGGCCGCCGGGGCCTGGGGACAGGGCGGACAGGTGGGCCCAGCCAGTACCTCCGGGATGCAGAGCTGGGGAAGCAGGACTGAGAGGGGCGTCCCAGAGGATGGCCCGGAGCACGAGTCCCCAGAGAGAGACGGATTTGCTTCCTACTGGCTGAGTGTTAGGGGGAGGGTTGCAGGGCTGGACAGACAAAGATTATTGGGGTGCAGGGACGGCTGACCTCAAACAGCTGGTGCCGAAGAGGTCAGCTCGGCCGCCCGCTGGAGTTCCTCTCTCCTTGCACTGTGGGTGCCCGCTGTCGGCGGGGAGCCCGCCGTGCGCCGATCCGGGCTGCGTTCGGCAGCCGCAGCCGCTCCAGACGGGCGCCTGAGGTCCTGGTGTCCCGTGGCGGGCGTCTGAGCGTCTTGGTTTCGGACGGGTGAGGTCAGGAAGGGCCTGAGGCAGGTCGGTGCAGACTGGGCTCATCGCTCGGTTTCTGCAGAAACCAGAAGTGTGGGGCGCGGGAGACCAGCAGGCCGTACGAGCTCGCCCCTCCCCGGCCGGGCGTGGGGAACGTTCTAGAACCCAAAGCAGCTGTCTCTCCTCCCTGGGCTGTGACGCTGAGTCACGGGGACCCCGCAGGAGTGGAGCCCGAGACCCGGCTTGGAGGGCCCCGCGCACCAGCACAGAGCACACAGGTCCCCGCGGCCACTGCCCACGGGTGCGGCCACCGCCCGGGGCCTCCGCGCGGGATCGAGCTTGCCAAGGACCGTCGGGGCACGAGCATTGGTGTCCGCGGTGCCGCGTGTCCTCCGGCTCAGGACCCCGAGAGCGTGAGGGACACTTTGCGGGTGGGGGTGGCCCGGGGACACGCCCGGGCTCGCGCTGACATCGGGGCCCAGCTCTGCCCTCGGCTGCTCTTCCTTGCTGTCGCGAATGGGGAGAGGGCGCACGCCACGAACCCACATGTCACGGGGACGCGCAGGTTTGCACGGCCCCCCGCCCCCCGCAGGCGGAGCAGCTCCCGGACTGGGCTCCCGCATCGGGACCTGTGCACAGAACCCTCTTTACTGCGGCAGCTTCTCGTTGGAAAAGAAAACGGGGGGATGGGTGGGGAAAGGCCAGAGACCCCGCCCTTGGCTGCCTCTTGGGGGCTTCTACGCGAAGCTACGGGGGGTCTCGAGCTGGGGACAGACGTTTCCCCGTGGATTCCACAGGGCGGAAAGGGACAGGGCCTTTCGCAAGTAGCATGCGGAGGACCCTGGCACCGGAAGCCGGGTGTGCGGGCTCAGAGAACAGTCGAATTGATCGGCCGACTGTTCGTCGGGTCCCTATTATGTGTTGTGCCTTGTATCAGGCCCTGGGGGTGCAAAAGCCAGCCGGACATCAGTGGCTGCGGGTGGGCCACAGCTGCAACGTCGGTGGACACTGCAGCTGTGCCTGGCAGAGGCTCCCGAGAAGGCTGCCCTGGGGCACAGATTCACCTGCCACTTAAACTGGGGCGAACTCGAAAGCAGATCATTTGCCTGCAACCTTCTCAGAAGCTCGTCTGCTGCACGGACGGAGGCGATGTGCGATGCAGCGGCCCGTTGGCCATTTTCCCTCCGTCAGTCACCTCTGCCGGGAAGAACGCCCCCCACCCCCGAGGGAGAGGCCGCACCCCGAGCTGGGACGCAAGCCTCGGGCCCACACCCGCTCCTCCTGGCTTCCCCGTCTGCGTCTCTCACACCACGTGTGTGATGTCGTCTTTCCTCACTACGAGGCGACGTCCCTTGGCAGGGACCGTGTCTCAGGTCCGGCCCCAACCCCCGTGTCCCGTGTCCGGCCCTAACCCCCGTGTCCCGGGTCCGGCCCTAACCCCCGGAGTCCACACGCGCGCACTAAGGACGCGGTCACCTGAGGGTGCCCTGAGCACCTGCGTACACTCCACTTGCCGCGTCTCTTCCTTCCAAAGCATCTGTGACCGGGAGCGTGCGGCAGCCCCGCGGACGGAGCCGGTCCCATCACACAGACACGACAGGACACGACAGCAGAAATAGTTTCGTAACCAAGAGCCCAAAACGAAGGTCCATCCCTCCCTTCGAGGAACAGACCACACAGCCGAGCGGACGGCGTCGGGTCGCGTTCGGGAAGCTGGCCGAGCTCCTCCCGCCTGTCCCGTCCTCCGCCCGGTGCGCGCGAATTTACTCATTCCGTCGTTTCGGGTTTTGGTTCCAGAACTTCTGTTCGGTTCCCTTTTTAAAATTTGTATCTCCTTTTAATTCTCCGAGTCTGTTCTCACGTTGTCGTTCTGATTTCCTTTGGCCTCGTCAGCATTTTCCTTCTACCTCTCTGAGCGTGTCTGAAACGCTTGTTTCAAAGTGCTCAGCTCGTGGGGCCAGGGGGTGTTTTTCTTCAGAGAGTCTGCGCTTCGTTTTCGTCCTCCGAATGGGCCATGCTGTCCTGTTTCTTTGAAGGCTCTGCGATTCCGCTGCCACCGTGAAGACTGGCCGTTTGAAAACCAGCCGCCTCGCCCAGCCTTTGCGGAGAAAGAGCTCGCGCAGGGCGTGTTCTGGGCTTGGGGTGCAGCTTACGGTCGTCTCGGGCCTCGCCCCGTCTCGCTTCTGCCCCGGGCCCCTGTGTGTGTTCCCTCCTGATCCCTCCTGTAGAAACGGCTGCTTTAAATGTCTCAGTCCCCCGGAGTCCGACGCCAGGCTCTCCGTGGCGTCTGAGGTGTTCTGCTGCGTCCCTCTGCCTGTGACTTCTCCTCCGAGTCCCCCTGATGCTCTCTCGGGCAGGGCCCACTGTTTCCGGGGCTCTCCCAGGCTGAGGTCCTGGCCAGGCCACTCTCCCGCTCCCGAGCACCATGTGACACTGAACAGAGACCAGCCCTTCAGGCGGCCCCCGACATGTTAGAGCGCGGCCAGGGAGGTGGCTCTGGGCCTCCGGCCTCAGGGGAGTCGGAAGCTGGGCCTCTGCTTCCCCCGACACCGGCACCGTGCTGAGGAGGGGTGGGGTGAGGGCCCGCGAAAACACCACAAAACTTCCTGCCATCTCGAATGTGGCTTTCTCTCTTCTGGGCATTCGGCTGACTGCCGGAGACTTCCGCAAGTTTTCCAGAGCTCCTCCGAAGTTACTGTAGCCGGTCTGTAGTTCTCCAGTCCGCCGGCCTAGCTCCTGCCTGTCTGAGTCTTATTTTTATCACTGCGACCGAAGGAGCCCTGTGAATGCCTCCATCACACAGCCGAGCAGATTCGGACTCGGAGGTCGGCGCGTCCAGCATTCACACTACAAAGCGGGTGACCCGGGACTCGAGCCTGGTGTGGTGCGTTCCTTACCCTCTGTGTCCGCCAAAGCAGACCCTCTTGAACCGTGCACGCACACGTGTCTTCTGAACGTGAGGTGGCACGTCGTTTTGCTGTGTTCTGCCGCTGGGTGAGAGCAGGCAGGGTCTAGGGTGGAAGACAGAAGACCGGAGGCACCGGGGAGTGAGGCGAGCGAGGCCGTCCCCAGCCCGGACGCGCCATCCCGGCGAGCGGGAAACGCCGAAGGCTCGGCCAATCGAGTGACACAGACGTGGTGCCATGGGGCGGGCATCGGAGCCAGGCCAGCCGGGGGTCCTCCATGCCCATGAGGGGCAGCCCGTGGAGTGGGACAGCCCGTGGAGTGCGACAGCCCATGGAGTGGGACAGCCCGTGGAGTGGGACAGCCCGTGGAGCGGGACAGCCCGTGGAGCGGGACAGCCCATGGAGTGCGACAGCCCATGGAGTGCGACAGCCCATGGAGTGGGACAGCCGCGTAGCGGGCGTCTGGGTCCTCCACGGGAGAGGGGCGCGAGCGTGCGTGCGTGGGGCAGTGGCCGCCGAACACACAGCAGCCCTCTCCGCTTGGCCACAGGCCTGAGGACTTGGCCACAAGACCTGGAACCACCCACAGTGCACAGAGCCACCGGAAAAGCACGCGGGGGTGTCCCTGGGGGAGTGTTGGCCAGTGGCCGCTTTGATTTGGGTCCATGGTAGACCAGCTAAGCTCACGGGGTGCGCACGGGCCAAGGTAACAGCATGAGGGGTAACAGAGAGTCCCCTTGCTCCCGCCCCCCAGCCCCACCCCGAGTCAACAGCGGACGGAAAGGTCTGGGCCGGGCCCACAGCCCTGCCTGCTGCTTCCTGCAAGTGGCCTTGCGTGAGGGGTCCACACTGTCACCCTCACGTGACGTGCCACCTCGTCACCAGGGCGCTGTCCACACAGAGTCCTGTCGTCTGGAGGGATCTGGGAACACGGCGTTCAGACATCTTCGTCAAGAACGAGCACCGGGCGAGCCGGGCCCACCTCCGCGGGGGCCGGTGCAGCGGGAGCGCGGAGCGCGCATCGGCGGCCGTTCCTCCCGCGCCCACTGGGCACGGCTCCGCTGTCCGTCCTGCGAGGCAAGCAGAGCCCAGAGGAAGAAGGAAAACGGGCCAAAAACGAACAAAACAAGTCTGGAGCCCACAGCCTGCAACCCGACCGCAGCCGCTTCCGGAGAGAGGCCCTGCTCCAAGCCCTTGAGTGTTTCTGCTTCGCGACAGACGCCCAGGGACCGTTCTTTCCTCATTGTCTCGAGGGGACCTGCTGGGAAAGGCTCCGGGCGGGCGGCACCCCACCCGTCACGCCCAGGAGACGCTGGGCCCCAGATGCGGGGTGTGTGTGCGTGTGTGCGCGCGCGTGTGTGTGTGCGTGCACCTGCGCGTGCGTGAGGGTGTGTGCGCGTGTGTGTGTGGCATCGGCCGGCCTGTTTCAGCCATAGGACCTCGTGCCGCCCACTGCGGTTCCATAATTAGAGGGTCCCCACACCCGTCTTCCGGGCAGCGCACACTGACGGGCAGCGGCTGCTGCGTTTTGGATTCTGAAATTGCCAAAACCAACCCCAAAACACCGAAAGCAGAAACGAGTACGAATCCGTAATTTCCCAGGCAGGCCCGTGGGAATGGCTCAGACCTGCGGGGGGCGGGGGTGCTCCCGGGTCCCACGAGGAGGCCCGGCTGCTGCCCGTCCTCGGGACCTGTGCGGATGGCGGGCGGGCCCTGGCCCGAGGCTGGCGTCCCTCGTGCCCCACTTCAGGGGACTGCGGACGTTGTTAGCTGCCTCAGCAGCCCCCCGAGCTGTGGTTCTCAGACGTTGATCCCACCCCGTGACGCCCACCGTGGGCCCTCTCTCCAGCTTTGCCAAGCTGGCTTTGTCTCCGACAGGGACCCTGGTTGCACATCGCTCCTTGAGGGCCACTGCGTGACAGCCTAGAATGACCCCGGAAAGCCAGCCGGGCTTCCTGCCGGGGCCACGGGACTGGCCGATCTCTGTAACCCACGGGCACGCAGAGCCCCGGCGACCCCCGCCCGCCCTTACCAGCCCCCTTCGAACACCCCAAGGACAGCAGCCCCCCCGGGGTCCTGACCTACGACGACAGCTTTTCTTGGGAGAACTCCAGTCATAGCACAATTGTTTCAACACGAACCGCAGACCGGTCCCTGTGATCTGTGCTCCGACTGCCCGAGTCACGAGAACTTCGTACAACAAACCACGAGGCATCTACAGCATCTCAGACAAATGGGAACCGGTTGCCCAGTCCCGTCCCCAGACCGCTCTGCAATTAGGGGTCCTCTGGGGAAAAGTCTGGGAACCAGACAAGCCAAAGGGCCGGGAAGGGGCGGGCCCAGCGTGGGACCTGCCGCCAGAGCGCCTCGGGGGCCCTCGGGGGGCCTCGGACGCCAGAGAATGCCCGGTCTCACGTTCCTCAGCCTGCAAGTGGAGTGACAGGGTCTGCTCAAAGGGTGGGCACGATTTCAGTCTCTGCACGAACCGATTCTCCTTCTGAAACAGGCGGCTTCGCGTTTCCGTCCCGTCCTGCGCCTCGTTCCTGAGATTTGACACAACACACACTGCTCCTGCCTGCGGTTTCCGGTGAATTGAGGGGCCCAGAGGTCACTGGGTTGGGGGGGTCCCAGGTGCCTTGGGGCCGGCGGGCCTGGTCTCCAGCTCCAGGTCACACTGTGCAGTGCCACCCAGCCTCTCCCCGAGCTAACTCCCTTCTTCCCGCCATCCCCGTGCCTCCAGGCCCGGGCTGTCCCGAGCCGTGTGCCCGTGCGGTCCTGCCTCGGGGCTCGGGGCTCGGGGCTCGGGGCTCGGGCTGCAGCGCGGTCTGTCTGCTCTTGGTCGCGCACCCCTCTCAGTTCTTGAGTTTGGCAGGAGGCGGCCCAGGGCCGCTGGCTGGCTGGCAGGGTGCTGGCTGGCAGGGTGCTGGCTGGCAGGGTGCTGGCTGGCAGGGTGCTGCAAGGCGGCTCTCATGGTCAGGACGGTGGTGATTTATGGGGACAGGGAGAGGATCACTGGGGTCCGCGGGCTGGTCTGGACTCCTCGACCTCGGTTAATGTGCTCTTTCGGGCCTGCGAGGAGGTCACACGGAGCGTCCATTTCATGGTGATCCATTAGGACTTCCGGGCCTTTCCTGCATGTCTGCTGCCGATGACGGCCCGAAGCGAACCAGGGCTTCGCTCTTCCAGGAGGAGAGAGACAGCGAATCAATTAACAGCCATGACGCCGATATTCATTCCACTGAACTAAGTTTACTGTGGGGCAAGCCAGAAAAAACAATAAACTTAATAAAAAATTCACAAACAACTGTTTTGGAAATGTTCCCAGTTTTATTGAGCTGCGATGGACACAGAGCACGGAACACCGTGCAGGCGCACGGCACGGTGGCCTGACTCGCGTGTGTCATGACGTGGTGACCAGCAAGTTTAGTTCGCACCCAACGTCCTCGTAGATACAAGAAAAAGAAAAAGCTCAGAATGTCCCCTGGCGGCCTTCACGTGCAGCGCTCAGCAGCATGAGCCGTGGCCACCAAGTGCCACCAAGCGCCCTGCGTCCACCGGACGAGCATCTGGCAGTCGGCACCTTCTAGACCTTCCCCGATTCTGCCGGTGCCCACCCCCGCCTCTCGCAACCAGCACCGCGCTCTCCGTGTGAGCTTAGCTATTGCTTTTGCGAGGTCCCATGTGTAGAGAGATCACATGGCGCTCGTCCCCATTGTCTGTCTGACGTATCGTGCTCAGCGCGATGTCCTCAGGGTCCACCCACGTGGTCGCAGACGGCGAGAAGTCATTCCTTTCCATGGCTGAGTAATACTCCAGGTATCTACATGTGTCGTTTCTTCACCCATCCGTCCCTGGATGGACGCTCAGGCTGCTCCCGTACCTCACCTAAACACACAGAAGAGGGATCATCGGTCACAGGCAGCCCTATTGCTAATCTCTGAGG